CTAGTAGCGATAGCCTCCACCCTTGTAGCGATGGCCTCCACCTAGTAGCGATGGCCTCCACCGTAGTAGCGATAGCCTCCACCCTAGTAGCGATGGCCTCCACCTAGTAGCGATGGCCTCCACCGTAGTAGCGATAGCCTCCACCCTAGTAGCGATGGCCTCCAACCTAATAGCGATGGCCTCCAACCTAATAGCGATGGCCTCCAGCCGACTGTATGAGAAGCGTGCACTAATGGTCACTGAATGTTGGCTATCAGGAACTTTTACCCCTGGAGACCACAGGAACATCACTCAATCACCGTGCAAAGAAAATGTTACTTGTAACTGGAATGTGCAGATCTCCACCCAGTCTCCTTGAATATGTCGTTGATGCAACCACTTAACTAAACGCCTTTTGCTGTTCCTTGTGCAATTTTGCCTGCCTTCATTCAGGCAGTGGCATTGACCCAGAAGACCACAAATACAGTTGCCAAATTCTCAGCATCAGATGTGCACATCAAGCAAGAGACTACCCAGATTGGAGATATGCTACATCAATCAAAGGAAATGACCCCGTGCAAGCACCTGCTTGAGAAAGCGTCACAAGCAAGTGTTCTTCAAGAAAGTGTCCTGGGAAAACTCTTGCCGTGTGAATTGGTTCCTCGGTTTGGGGGGAACACTTTGGGTAAGGGGTTGTCATGGTTGGGCCACGCCTTTCTTGTTGTTGATGACGACGACACTTTTTGCTGTGTATCTCTTGTTGCTACCAGCATCAGACATTGATGCAGGTGATTCTACATGTTTGAACCCCTGTGCTCAGATGAGTGTCTCTTACGGACTAGTGACTAGTGTCGCATGTTTGTTGTAGCATGACATTGCCTTGTTCATGGATGTGTGCATGCTCCACAGCTTGGAAAATGATTGTTGCCCGTGATTTGTCAATTGCACCAGATTTGTAGAAAAATTAGTCCAGTGCGACTGGCTAACATGAAGATCTTTGTCAAGCTAGAACGAAGTTCAATCAATGTCGTTTGATTCTTCCAGGCCTTCGCAACTTGGGGGCCAGTGTTGGTTGCAGTGATGGGCGCAGTTCTTGCACAAGCCTCAGATTGCAAAGCTCCAAGCTTTTCACCAATCAAACAAGAACATTCAGTGAGAGTAACGATACAATTGATCGAGACGTTTTGGTTGCTCCACTGTTTCACTTTGCTTTTGCAACTCTGAGACACGCAGGACAGCAGAAAAGGGTGAACTGCGTCTCATTGCTTTGTGGGTGTTGCTTCTTTGGCGAGAGTGTTGCCTTGCACTTTCAACCTCGCCCGCTAGCAGCAAAACTATGTAGGTCCGTGCCTTCAACTGAATCTACCTCTACAGTTCAGCAGGTGTTGATCGCTGCATTGTACCATCATGTTCCTGCATTTGCCTGTGTGCAAGGCCCTTGCTATCTGGCTTCGCCGTCCCTGGTCAGGCTTGATGGATTACACTTTCTCTAGTTTTTTTCCCCCTTTTTTACAAAGCTTTCACTTAAGCAGCTTTAAATTCAATCATGCAAACATGTCCGAACAGATCAACAGTATCAATTGTTTGAACTATGCGTAAAAAGAGGTGGAGATTGTGGCCATCGCCTCATTCTCGGCGAAAATCGCCAACTCAGGAACATCCCGACGACATCACAAGACAGACTGATTGCCTCGAAGCAAAAGCTGGCAGCACATCAGACAGCGCTGCGAAAGTGCGTCAGTGTTGATTGGCGGTTTTCATGTAGGAGCAAGGACGCTACTAGGGGCTCCTGGCCATACTACTAGGAACAAGAAGCTATTAAAAGAAACAAGAAGCTAGGAATTGGAATTAGAATCCCGCTCCCCCACCTCGCTACTTAATTGAGTAGGTGCCTACTCAATTAAGTAAGGGAGAGGTAGCTATATACCACCGGCTACTACCTTACTTTAGCTACTACGTAGGACGCAGGATAGCTCCGCACCAATGTTTAGGTTTCAAATGCTAGATTTTTAGGGAAACTTAACGTGACCTTTCCACTGTCGAAACATGAGGAAAGAAACTGAAGATGATGTGTATGTAACACTGGCAATGTGGGACTGCTTCCGGTTGCGAAACTACTTAGTGGTGGCGGCTTGTTTGTGGGCTATGTAGCTGACTGAGACAGGAATGCAGCACCTGAGTACCTGAAGGTACCTGCAATCTAGAATCAAGCAGAAAGTACAGCTTGTACATATTTACGTTGAAGAAACCCAAGGAGCCTTTACTGTACGTGCCTTTGGTGCAACTCTCCCCCCCGCTCTCTCTCTCTATCTTTGTGCCAAGTCACCACATGCGCCATCCAATCTGGTAGTTCAGGCTCATGAAATCACAAGACATTGCACATTAACTCTCAATCTTGAGAGAGGATGTAGCGGCATAACGTATACACATATGCTGAAATATGTAGAGGATGCTGTACTGCAGGTCTTTCTTTTTGAACAAACTTTAAACTATACGAGAGGCACTGACACACCGGCCAGTAATGATCGGATGTGTATTTCATGCAGCCATTCAAATCAAAGAATGACCAAGGTGAACACTCCAATGCCCCGTTGAGTCTATGTTTTAGGATGAAGCCACTTTGTTGTTTCCTCGCAGAACTTAGCAAAACAGACCAGCGCAACTGTCAGCCCGGCTCAACACTTAAGCCCTTTGCGAATGGCCATCATTCATGGCTCCTTCGGCTGAGAAACTGCTTTTGAGCTGGTCAGTCCTGAACCTGCACTGATCCGTTGAACGGCTTGGGAGCATTGATCAATGCAATTCAAATGCTGCTGTGTCAGCTGCAGCCTAGGCAATGCGAAACAAGCACAGAGAGAAGCGCTTGGCTCAGGTGGGGTTGCGTGTTTTACAGTTATACCATAAGTATATATAAGTATGAGTGTTTCCCAAACGTGAGTTATATTTTGCTCAAAAAAACAGTTGCGCTGTCCTGTGGGCATTTGTCAGTCTCAAACAGCGACTCGTTTTGAAGCATCTCAGAAGCTGATTTGAAGGTGGCTTCTAATAGAGGGCCGTCAGCCGTGAAGGCACATGGCAGCTGCTATCATCGTCGTCGCCGGAGAGAAGCGGCGGAGTAAGAGAAAATCGGTAGATTTGAGGGCAGAGTCAGGTCAGTTGGAGTTGGATGCAGATCAGGATGGAACTATTTCACCCGCGGAGCTCCTCACAGATTTTCAAGGTGTGCATGTGAGAGCGGACATTTTGTTGGAGCGGGTGAAATTAGAAGATGGACTTCTTGGCTTCCTGCAGCAGATCCTTGGCTTCAAAGAGTATGTTTTTTGCAGAACATGTTTTTTGCAATCGCTAGCGCAACCTGATTGGATCAAAGTGAGCACTTGCACAGTCCCATTCATACATGCATCATGTAACACATATTATACTCTGCAAACATTTGTATTCGGTATACACATGAGCATCCGACCAAGTCTATTGAATACTAATGTTAATATATACTAAGTAAGTATTCACAGGGTCGTTTTGAGATACTGGAAACCTGCATCAACCCCGCATAGCCGATGCCGACCCGTCTACCGATACCCTTTGATGTACCAACTACTTAAGGAACCACGCTGCCATGCCACATTTGTATTTGGCGCAAAAACTTGGTTTGTTGCTCTTCTCAGTTTGAGTTGCTTGCACCAGTGAACCTGTTTTGCAGCTGAATCGAACGAATATGTTGCTGCGCAACTGGATGATGTAGCCTTTGGCTGCCTGTCAGGGGACACTAGCTGTTGTGAAATCATCGCAGTCAAAAGGTAGTGCTTCTGCTGGGTCTAGGGGTCTTTAGAAGAGCTGCAGCGTAGATTACCTGGTGTTGAGAGTAGCCCGGCCGTTTGTGGCCCAACGCTGCGGATCAAAGAGACCTCTTGCAAGACGTAGAGCGCGACGCGGCCGAGTCACAGTCTCCCGGTAAAGCGCCACAGCCAGAGGTCGGCGGTGGGACGCTACCTAAGCGAAGGTCCAGGCCACCTCAGGGATCCTCACTCAACGAAACATCAAACTCAGGACAGAAAGAAATTGCAAGATTCACATTAGACTTAATCGGAACCCTGCCAAATCTCTCCCTCAACGCATTGTCAACTCTCTGGCTGACCCTTATAGGCCATCCAAGAACCACTCCACGAACTGGCTTGTAAACGAAACAGTGCAACCAACAGAAACCGAAGCAACTCGAACACCCAAATCACCAAGCACACTCATCAAAACCCTCCTAAACACACCCAACCGATTGGCCAGAGTGGTATGGAAGTGCCATCACTTCTGGGGATAGATCCACCTGTGAGTCAAGGGATCCTCGATTGGCAAACGGTGACTTGTTGCCACGGTCCAGCCAGTCCACAACTCCAGGAATGAAACTGACGTCTGATCAACCGAGACCTCCTCACAATGCCAAATCCAATCAAAAACAGAACAAACAACACTTCCCGAAGATCTGGGCAGTTCTCTCGTTAACAAGAGCCGCCCGTGCACCAGCTGGAAATTGGCTTACAAAAGTTCTTGAACTCGGCTCAAACATTATCCTAAGCCCTAGGCACCAGCTCACTCAGCACCATCAGCTCTGCCGATTCAGCATTCGTGGTGGTCTCGTCAGCGATTGCCACCTCCAGAAGAAATTCCTGTGCTTCGCGAACGTTTTTCTTCGTTGCAAGACGTATAAACCTCCCGAATCCACTTTGCCCATGGAAGAACAACTTCCCGACAATATAATCACTGCTCAATTCATGTCCTCACCGTTGGAATATGTTGGAATGCCGAACTATGGCAAGCTCGATGCTGCCAACAAGGCTTGGAGGGTAACAAGGGGGCCTTTACTGCAACCAGCCCTATTGCGTAACCGATGACGGCCGACCCATTCTAAACAAATTTTGTCCGGCGCTCACATCATGACCCAATGATCAACGGAATTCTTGGAAGCCCAGGATGCCACTCTTTTTGCTGTGCCTGCTCTGCTTTTTAGTTGCCATCAGTGTCCTCAGCCCAGCCGCAGAGACCTCGGCCATCCATCAACATTTGGAGTCCCACTTTCAGTGCCTTGGCTGCACTCCTTATTTTGTTGTCAGCCGCCAAGTAGAATTAGAGCGCCATCGATCATTGCGCTGGACACTGCACTTGATGGAAGTACATGAAAGTACACTTGAATCATTTTGAATCTGGAATCACTCCTTGTTCCCAAAGGTCTAGTCTGAACATGATCGAACATTTGGAATGACAGGGGGGTTGGCCGCCTTGGTCCTTTCTCCAACCCTGTGTGAATCCAGCACCCAGGTTGGATCAAGTTGCCTCCATCACTGACGAGCACGGAATCTATGAATTCTTGAAATCCTTCGAGGCCCAAAACGTGGCGATGAGGCCCACCTCTTCCAACTATTGGTGCGAACATCGCCACCTGCCGAGATGATGAATTTTCTCATTTGTTATTCAATCAATGCAGAATCCTGTTTGTTTTGTTTAACTTGTGAATGGTCTAGGCTGTCCGAACTCAGATCAGTCAGCTTGACATGACAGGCTACTTCCAATATGCTTGGGATGATCACTACCAGATTCCAACTACGACCTGCAACAGCCCAAGGTACACAGCGCTTGGACTGCAATCTGCTCCAGTTTGGACCAACGGAAGCGGAACCAGCACCAGTGGCGGTCACCGACGTTTGGGCGGGGAAACAGGCAACGGATCTTCTCCCACCCATGATTATCCTCCTTGTGAGGACAATGACACCGCGTACCAAATTGAGGAAGACAAACCAAATATCACATGTCATGAAGATGCGGCCCATGCTTGCTCCATCGACCTGGGTATCACACTCTGTCCACGGACATGTGGGTATTGTGCGCCCTTCGAGTACGAGAAGATGAAGAGGTGGATGCTGCAGATAAAATCTGTTCAAACATGTTCAAAGGAAGTTTAGTGTACGAAACTTCCGTGTTACGGACATTCAAGAACTGTTCATACACCACTCATCAATACACCACTCATCAATACACCACTCATCAATACACCACTCATCATACACCACTCATCATACACCACTCATCATACACCACTCATCAATACACCACTCATCAATACACCACTGATCATACACCACTCATCAAACACCACTCATCCCACATATCATACACCACTCATCATACACCACTCATCAATACACCACTCATCATACACCACTCATCATACACCATTCATCAATACACCACTCATCATACACCACTCATCATACACCACTCATCAATACACCACTCATCATACACCACTCATCATATTCCAGTCATCATACACCACTCATCATACGCCACTCATCATACACCACTCATCATACACCACTCATCATACACCACTCATCATACACCACTTATCATACACCACTCATCATACACCTCTCATCATACACCACTCATCATACACCACTTCTCTTACACCACTCATCATACACCACTCATCATACACCACTCATCATACACCACTCATCACCCAGTTAGCTCTAGTTTCAAGAGCTCTAGCTCCAGGTAGCTCTAGCTCCAGTTAGCTCTAGTTTCAATATAGCTTTAGCTCCAGTTTACGTGGCAGGCGCAGCACTTTGTGAACCTCCATGTGCAGATTTCGTGGCAGGCACAGCACTTTGTGAACCTCCATGCGCAGCGTTCGTGGCAGGCACAGCACTTTGTGAACCTCGATGTGCAGAGTTCGTGGCAGGCGCAGTACTTTGTGAACCTCCATGTGCAGATTTCAAGGCAGGCACAGCACTTTGTGAACCTCCATGCTTCTCCGAACCTCGACGGGGAAGCTCCGCGGGACGCTGTGTGCGAGACGGTCTCCGGTCATTCTCGGATCATGCTCGGAACCGTCCCTCCATTGTGATTAGAGGTTTCAGTTGTTTCTTGAAGTGCAGATTTCGTGGCAGGCACACCGCTTTGTGAACCTCCATGTGCAGATTTCGTGGCGTGCGCAGCACTTTGTGAACCTCCATGTGCAGATTTCGTGGCAGGCACAGCACTTTGTGAACCTCCATGTGCAGAGTTCGTGGCAGGCACAGCACTTTGTGAACCTCGATGCGCAGATTGCGTGGCAGGCGCAGTACTTTGTGAACCTCCATGTGCAGATTTCATGGCAGGCGCAGCACTTTGTGAACCTCCATGCTTCTCCGAACCTCGACGGGGAAGCTCCGCGGAACGCTGTGTGCGAGAGGGTCTCGGGTCATTTTCGGATCATGCTCGGAATCGTCCCTCCAGTGTGATTAGAGGTTTGAGTTGTTTCTTGAAGTGCAGATTTCGTGGCAGGCACAGCACTTTGTGAACCTCCATGTGCAGATTTCGTGGCAGGCACAGCACTTTGTGAACCTCGATGTGCAGATTGCGTGGCAGGGGCAGTACTTTGTGAACCTTCATGTGCAGAGTTCGTGGCAGGCACAGAACTTTGTAAACCTCCTTCTTCTCCGAACCTCGACGGGGAAGCTCCGCGGAACGACGGTTGCGAGACGGTCTCGGGTCATGGTCGGATCATGCTCGGATCATGGGCGGAATCGTCCCTCCATTGTGATTAGAGTTTTCGCTTGTTTCTTGAAGTGCAGATTTCGTGGCAGGTGCAGCACTTTGTGAACCTCCATGTGCAGATTGCGTGGCAGGCGCAGTACTTTATGAACCTCCATGTGCAGAGTTCGTGGCAGGCACAGCACTTTGTGAACCTCGATGCATCAGATTGCGTGGCAGGCGCAGTACTTTGTGAACCTCCATGCGCAGATGTCGTGGCAGGCACAGCGTTTTGTGAACCTCCATGCTTCTCCGAACCTCGACGGGGAAGCTCCGCGGAACGACGGTGGCGAGACGGTCTCGGGTCATTGTCGGATCATGCTCGGATCAAGGGCGGAATCGTCCCTCCATTGTGATTAGAGTTTTCACTCGTTTCTTGAAGTGCAGATTTCGTGGCAGGCACAGCACTTTTTGATCCTCCATGTGCAGATTTCGTGGCAGGCGCAGCACTTTGTGAACCTCCACGTGCAGATTTCGTTGCAGGCGCAGCACTTTGTGAACCTCGATGCGCAGATTTCGTGGCATGCGCAGTACTTTGTGAACCTCCATGTGCAGATTTCGTAGCAGGCGCAGCACCTTGTGAACCTGCATGCGCAGATTTCGTGGCAGGCACAGCACTTTGTGAACCTCCATGTGCAGATTTCGTGGCAGACACAGCGCTTTGTGAACCTCCATGTGTGCGTTTGTGGCAGGCGCAGCACTTTGTGAACCTCGAGGTGCGGATTTCGTGGCAGGTGCAGCGCTTTGTGAACCTCCATGTGCAGATTTCGTGGCGGGCACAGCACTTTGTGAACCTCCATGTAGATTTCGTGGCAGGCACAGCACCTTGTGAACCTCCATGTGCAGATTTCGTGGCAGGCAAAAGCACTTTGTGAACCTCCATGTGCAGATTTCGTGGCAGGCACAGCACTTTGTGAACCTCCATGTGCAGATTTCGTGGCAGGCGCAGCGTTATGTTGCAGATTTCGTGGCAGGCACAGCACTTTGTGAACCTCGAGGTGGAGATGTCGTGGCAGGCGCAGCACTTTGTGAACCTCGAGGTGCAGATTTCGTGGCAGGCGCAGCATCTGGCGAGCTGGAAGCTGAGAACTGGCGACTTTGTAGTGCAACTTTAGTACGCGGAGCATCTGGGGAGCTGGAAGATGCGAACTGGCGACTTTCTAGTACAACTTTAGTACGCGGAGCAATCTGTGGAGCTGGAAGCTGAGAACTGGCGTACAACTTTAGTGGGCGGAGTATCTGGGGAACTGGAAGATGAGAACCGGCGACTTTGTAGTACAACTTTAGTACGCGGAGCATCTGGGGAGCTGGAAGATGAGAACTGGCGACTTTGTAGTACAACTTTTGAGTACGCGGAGCAATCGGTGGAGCTGGAAGCTGAGAAGTGGCGACTTTGTAGTACAACTTTAGTACGCGGAGTATCTGGGGAGCTGGAAGATGAGAACTGGCGACTTTGTAGTACAACTTTACTACGTGCAGTATCTGAGGAGCTGGAAGATGAGAGCTGGCGACTTTGTAGGACAACTTTATTAGTACGCGGAGCAATCTGTGGAGCTGTAAGATGAGAACTGGCGACTTTCTAGTACAACTTTAGTACGCGGAGCAATCTGTGGAGCTGGAAGCTGAGAACTGGCGACTTTGTAGTACAACTCTAGTACGCGGAGCAGGCCGTGGAGCTGGAAGCTGAGAACTGGCGACTTTGTAGTACAACTTTAGTACGCGGTTGAGTCATCTCTATTCTGTATTTTCCCAAAGGCAAGACAGTTGACGGTGGTTGCTTCGCTTTCGCTCCATTGGTCGGTTCCAAGTTGTTTTGTCAAAGAACATCGCAGCTCGGCGAATCAGCCTGCCACATGCCCTTTTCCTATAGGCTTATTCTTTTGGAAACTTCCGCCGCCGGCTTGCCCGGGAACTACTTGTATACATGTAGTTTCCCACCTGCATAAATAGCTACCGAGAAGAATTGTCACAACACGTTGACAGATTGTCTCGAGAGGTACGGGAAGCCACAAGTCACACTTCTTCCTTCTGTAATCTACCAAACCCGCTTACAAGAAACAGAATGCCATGGCTTTGCAGCAACCGTCCAGCAGCAAAACTACAACCCGTTGCTCTCCTTGATGCCGGCAATGGATGGAAAACGCAAGGGCAATTTGCTTACATGCATCTAGACTGTTCAGCATTCAACAACACCTTTTAAGCTTTGAACTTTTGGTTTGCTAGTGTTGTTTGTTGCTGTCTATGTTTGCACATCGTTCCTCTTCCTTATTCTTACACATCAAAGCAAGGCATTGATCGCTCTGCACAACAAGACTCAGAATATGCCCTGTATTTGGACTGTCCAGAGCACACGCCCAGCCATCGTTGCACAGATGGCAAGGTGGGCATTGGTGCCAAGCAGTCCTTCCACGGAGACATCGTCTATGCTGAGATGCTGATCGAAAGCGAAAAGACCTTGACACCAAGTTGAACCAACATCTCCATACTTTGAAGTTTTCAACACGGTTGTTCCATTCCGTGCTTCAATTCATGTTTTTCATGTTTTCCTCTATTTGTAGGCCCTTTTTGCCACAGGCAGAAGCAAGTTGTTGTGAGGACAGCTATGGAGAAGGTCGGATATATTGACATCCAAACGGATACCATCTCTGCGAGCACCATGGTTTACACGGAGCTCCTGGAGATGTTCACAGCTTTGACCGTGGAGTTCAGCTTTGACTACGCTGGCAATGTGGAAGGCCGGAAAACCAGGGTCAATCCTGGCGTAGGCTGGACTTCGGCAGAAGAAACTAGAAAGACTATGAAAGATTCATCGATAAGAAGCAACTGGAGATGACCAAAGAACCAAGAAGGTTTTGTGGGGGGAGAGTTGGGTGTATGTGTTCTTTCCCTGGAGGATCTGTGCAGATGGTGACGTACAAGGACCTCATCCGGGACGATGCATCGGCCTTTGTGGGATGTTTAACGACGACATGTGTTGGAGCTTTCATCAGTGTGGTGTCCTTGGTAGCCTTTTTGTGCTGTCATCCCGACAAGTACAATTTGGGTCTCATGCTCTATGAGATCATTTCTCGGTTGGTTCTCTTCATATATCCATTGATCTTGCTGATCAGTTGGACACAACAACAACCCATGGCACATGAGTATGATCTCTTGGTGCAGACCTTCCTGAACAACGAGGGCATGGATGCAGAGCACGTGAAGCACAGCTTAGCGGAGTACTTTAAGGTGAAATCCGTGATCTATGAAGAGTCCTCGTGGCTGGAGCGTCATCGGATCGCAGCCTATGTCGTTCTCTACGTGCAATTCCTCCAGATGGTCCTGGCTTTCAATGTTCATCCCAGGGTAGCGATGCTGACATCAACCATACAGAAGGCCCTCTTCAATATGATGCATTTCTTCTTTGTCTTTGCCATCCTCTTTTTGATGCTTGCCTTCATGGCAAACTTCCTCCTGGGTGGCCGGATACACCTGTTTGGCACCTTTGGTGGAGCCTGCTCTGCGCAGGTTCGAATGCTTTTTGGCGAGTTCATCTATGCTGATGGGGTGGAGGTGCTGTCAGGATCAGCCCTGGTGATGTATTGGCTATATGCCATATCATTCATGCTCATTGTCTTCTTCACCTTGCTGAATTTCTTCTTGGCCATCATTGTGGATGCTTTTGTGGATGTCAAGAATGATTGTGGCACTTTGCGATGCACTCAAAGTTTTTTTCGTGACCTTTGCACGATGGTGGCAAGCTCGTACTTCCAAAGGAAATACAAGCTACCTCCTCGAAAGCGATTGGTGCAGTATTTGACGGAGGTCATGGATGATTTTAACCGCAGGCCCAAGGGCGAGCAGACCGAGGAGGGAAAGTTCCCACTACTTCCAGCCGAAGCGATAGTGTCGGAGTTTGGTGTGGACAAGACCGGCCTTACTCATTGGCTGTGCTGGATTGAAACGATGGCAACCGTGCCAGTGGTTCATTACCATTGTGAAGGAAATGAGGGCACTCAGAGTCAGCCTGTCGACAAAGAAGATATACCTGAGGAGGCAAGGAGCAAATTGAACACTCAATCTGAAGAATCTGAGATCCTTGAGCAAAGGGTCATGTAATTAGTCGGGAGGCAGAAATCCATGCCTCTCCGGTGTGGTTGCAGGCACCACGATCCTTGCAAATCGCAAAGACAAGACTTACCAAACCACACAGGAGAAAGAAAAGACTCTCCAGCTTGCCCGTCCGCATCAGTCTCACGAACAGTCAATGCCAAACAAATTTGAAGAGCAACATCAAAATTGAGAGCTATATGGCCCATAATTCTTTCATCATCTCAACAATCTCAGACATACAGCGCCAGGAGCACGGCGAAGAAGCAACGGAAGGCGCTGTTAGGAGCGTGGCGATTGACAGGTCTTTGCAAAAACTCGCCCCCCAGGCATTCGCTTGCGTTCTGCTGCCGATCCCAAAGGCAGGTTTGGAGATTCAAAGACGAGAGACGACACCGTCTCCATTGGATCTTCGTCCGTTGGCGGTCATGAAATGTCATGTGCTTCACCACCTACACCTACACTATTCAAACTTTGACAGTGCGTTGAACTGAAACTACCATAGGCCGCAGCAGTCGCGACAGACTGTTTGGAATATCAACGGACCTTGGACAGGATTATTGCTCATGCCTATTACATATATTGTATTATTATATGATATGTATATACAGTATATATATACACACTGTATACTTGTACTTACTATTATTTGTTTTGAAGCTTCCTGGCCGTCAACAACAGCAGCTCAAGAAAACCAACTATCCCTTATTCCACCTCGTGACAAAGAGATGGTTTCTTTCGGTAAAACGTTGATTCTTGATTGACACATTTCAGCATATATAAGAACAGATTGTTCCAACTATATATCTTTATAACCAAGTGCTCAGTGCTCAGAGCATTGTTAGCAACGTTAAACAATCAGTCGAGCCCTTTGTTCTCGCCCTCCCTCCTGCCTTTGAGTTACAAAATGGACATATTTGGACCAGGTGACCTTCGTACAGGGCGCTTGCGAGGTTGGAGCGACTCTGATGAAGGCGTACCGTGCCTGGGGGAAATTGACGGAACTGCTGTGAGCTGTGGGACTGCAATGGACTGCTTCCGGATTTTCTTGTTCAATGAACAGCGATGAATGTGTGTGACGAGTTCAACATAGCACCTGTAACACTTGGGTAAGACATGGCAAGACCATTCGTGGAAAGAACACGAACGGAGCAAGTTTTATCAAAGTGGTCTTGCATCCTCCAGAAACAAGGGCCAAGTGTGTGTTTTTTCTTTTTTTAAGGATGTTGTATAAGAGCTTGTGCACTTGATCTTGAGTTTGTTTAGTAATATCTTGAATACTCTTGAGCGCACCCTGTGCGTCATACAGGTTGTGCAGACTCAAAACCCAAAAGGAAGAAGCGGCGAACTGGTGCCACTCAGATTGCATGAAGTGCCTGAAGTGCTGATAAGAAGGGTTTGCCCACGACATGCGGACATGAAGTCGTAGCGTCGTAGCTGCAAGAGATGGACGTATGCCGATCCATGTCGTGTCAAACTTATTCAAACTTGCGATTCCAGATGCTCCTTGCTTGGACTGGATAAACGACACATCCGACTTTGCTACTATGCAACAATGGTAATGTGAGCCGATTTCAGTCATCGAAAGCAGATTGAAGGCAAGCTGACTTGGCGCATGTGTGCAGAAATGCACTTGAGGCTGTCCCCACGGCAGTAGAAAACGAGCTGGACACCGGAATCCGAGTCGATGCAATCAATCCGCAAGGTTTGACTGAAGACAGGATTTGAAAAAATTGACATTAAGATAGGCTGAAGTCGCGCTTGTCACACTGTTGCCTTGTATTGAGGTCATTTTTTCAAGTTCAGTTTAGAAGTTCTTGGCAGGAAGAGGCAGGACATTTTCATGCTCAAGGAACTCATCTTGGGCAGCCAGGAACCTACGAGGAGAGGATAATGAACGGCAGCGAGGCTTTTGCTCTTGAAACTGCGTGAAACTAGTATACTAGCGGAATATTTGCCGATATTGTTTGATTTGAATAGCAGTCAGCTGTAAAATTGCCCAAGGTAACCGACTGGAATTGGTTTGGCAAGCCATCTCGTGCTGGCAACATGTTCAAAGGCAACGACAACCAGACATGAATACGACAACCAGACATGAATTTCAGTTTCGATACATGTTTAAGGAACCAAAGTTTGGCATTAAGACGCGCCACCAGACTTGCGGGGCAAACATACAGGCATTGTAATTCAGTTGTTCTTCGTAGACTTTCTGGTTGGGAATTTCTCCCCAGATTCAGAATGCTGGGAGAACTCTACAACACCAACTATGCCATGGCTTGGATACCATGATCGCCTGTTCTGAATTGCACACGTGACGCAAGATAATATGTATTTGCTCCGGCAAAAGGAAGGGAACATAATGGGTAGCGAGTTGTATGTGTATCGCTTGAAGCAAAGAGGAATGCAGGATTGCTCGAAACCCAGCCATGGTTTTTCACGATGAATTCCGAGTGTCACATCGCGGCGGGACAGCCGTTTGTCATGCGGTGTGCATGCAGTTACAGACGGAAACGCCACACGGGGTTCAAGTCGCAGATTGGGGTTTCATGGAGCTCGCACTGGCACATTGGGGATAGCGCGGAGGGCTTCAGATGTCAGATTGATTTGTAGCGACAGCACAACATATCATGGCCTCAGTAGATTCAATGCTGCACTACTCACCAACTTAGCTAAGGCAACTCATGACTTAGGAGGCACGAAGCTCAGTTCGCTCGCAGCTCAGCTAACTTTGCTCACAACGCTTAGCTCAGCGGTTCGCTAACTCACCGAACTAAGAGTGCTTTGGCTCCAACTCATCGAACTCACCACTCAGCTCGCTGAAGCCTCCAGATTGGCCATCTCAAAGCTTACTCATTGCGGCCTCCAACCTACTTGTAGTAGCGATGGCCTCCAACCTACTGATAAGTTCAAACAACATGTGCATGGCTGCAACGCTGAACACGCACGCAGGGTGTGCTGGCACGTTGCATCCTGCAAAGCTGAAAAACCTTCTTACAGTGACACAGTAAATAGACCGTGATGCAGTGATACAAATATTCCAATAGGTGAAAACATGGTTGCTTTTGACTAACACGTTTTCTTGGCGCACACCAGCAATAGAAATCTGGCGACGCTGTGATGTGACGTGTGTTAACAATTATGGGGAGCTGATTGAGCTTTGAACTCAAAAGAGCCATCGTGATGGGTTCGCCGAGTTTGGTCTATCTTGATTTGAGTTAGTAGGTTCCATTTTTTTTAATCGTCTTTATTCTTTTCTTCTGACTTATCAGTAGGCCGTGTTTTGACTTTGGATCTTGGTGAGTCAGGAGCCACCGATCAAGCGCCAAAAAGCCGCCAAGGCAAGGATTTGGCAGATCACCAGCGAAAGGGTTTGTGCTGATGCTGATAGGGGACTTGAAAGGTTTTGAGGATAGCCCGCGAAACTAGCGCAGAAGAAGTCGCAAAACCCCACGAACACAGGGCATGCAGGGCATCGGTTGTTGATTTCAGACTTTTGTTTGAGGAAAGTAAGGAAGTCGGGGGTATATATTCTTGTTGCTGTTTTGGATGTTTGGTGGAGTTCAACAACAGCTAAAACTTCAGCGCCGGAAACTGATCAAAAAGAACGCATTCACTCGCACTCCCGACCTCCTGGCTCTCCAGAAGCAGCGGGCAGGCATGTAGGTAGTTGCTACCATGCTAGAAGATGGAGGTGTCAAAGTCGTGAAGAGTGCCGTGCTAGGTATGCTACTCCATGCCAAGCTGCTAGGCCGTAGTCTACATCAACCAGACCATCAGCATGCTACGCCGACCTTGCCAGTCCTTCAATAGCTCATTGGCTCGTTTGATAGCCAAATTTTCGCCCGCTGGCCATGCTGCGGCCTGGCATATGGGGCCAACGTGCCTCCCCCGTGCAAGTACCCCTTGCTCCAGCATGCCCAGGTGTCTAGCCGGCAATGTTTCATGATCATGTTGAAGTGGGTGTGTTTTTGTTTGTTTTCTGCCTGAGCGGCCAACACAACACTTTGGAAACGTTTGAACATTGAGATACATATCATTGTGTTGTGGGTTTGATGCAGTAAGCTTCTTATTTATTTGAAGATCCATTGCATGAATGGATGAAGCAAACATGTTACATGTTTGCCATAATTTGTACATCATTTGGAAAGTAGGTTCCAGCGTACAATGTTCAGTGCCGTTCTCAGACACCAACTGCATGTATGTTGCAGGTCCGATGTTGATTCGACATAGCTGCCAGATGGTTTGCCACCAGCTGCCGCACTGGCCATTAGAGAAATCACTTAGCCAAGCAACTGAGAAGAAGGATGCATGGGATGTGTGGTGGTGCTTCAAGAAGCAAACTAAGAACTGAGAATGCCCATTGGGAACCATTGTGTTTTAATTTGGTTGTTTATTTATTTTGATATGAATAGTATATACTGGTCATTGGTTCCGATTCTCCAAAATACTTGAAGAGGAGCCAAAAACATTAGATTCATCACTCTACTGACACACACACACACACATACACACACACACTCACAAAGTGGAGTATATAGGGAGACAAAGGTATTCTGCATGCAAGAAGTCGCTTTGCTGCGCAAGCAAAATCTTCAGGCTTGTAGAGTGGCCAAGTTTGGCGGAGTATTCAGTTTTGAGCCAATACAATAAGAGTCCAGATGAACGCTGCGATTGGCTGAGGCACGGCCGGATCACGAGCGCCGCATGGCCATAGCTTTGCTGGCGCTGGAAGCTCGTTCTCGTGAGGCCGAGCCTCAAAAGCACTGGCTGAATTCGGAGAAAGCCTCTTGGCCAACTTGGATCAGACTTCAATCGTCCTCATTCTTTTTGGATAAGGCCAAGGCTACAGGCAGGATACTTATTCCAAGATCGCAGCCAATGCTCGGACTGAGAGTAACGAAGTCGTTTTGGAAAGTCCCTTGTTTGGGAAAAGATTGATTCCTTCCGAATTGCCGTGCCACTAATAGTTTAATTGACTGCATACTTGCAGAATGAAATCACATGACACGCAAAGTATTTGGTTTGAAGAAGCCTGTAGGCCTCCTGTTGTTGGGTCATAAATAAGCCATGGTCAAAAACATATATATATATATAATTATATATATATACAAATATTACAAACAGTGTGGACACACTTAGGGGTTTTTACGGTAGGTGAAAAGCAGCTGTGCTTAGATCGCTGTGCCGCGCGGGCCTTTCCGGCTAATTCGCTGCTATTTACAGTAGATTCATGCCTCTCGAAATCCTCGAATCAAGTCCATTTCGACTGCGCAGGCTCGCGAAATCTGCGTGGGCGCGGCGGGTGCTTCTAGCGACTGCGCTCTCGTTGTGGTGCCGCGCGCATTTTCGCACATCATGGTGGTCACTTTTCGTGGCAGGCGCAGGGGAAACCTGGTCCAATGTCGACTTTTCGTGACAGGTGCAAGGGGTCGGAGCGGCTTTACTTCGAAGTGCAGATCTCGTGGCAGGTGCAGCACTTTGGACATGGTGGTGATCGTCGAGGTGCTCTGATTTCGTGACAGGTGCAGTGAATCGTAGGCTCGTTTCCAAGTGCAGATTTCGTGGCAGGCATAGCACTTTGTGAACCTCGAAGTGCAGATTTCGTGGCAGGCACAGCACTTTGTGAACCTCAATGTGCAGATTTCGTGGCAAGCACAGCACTTTGTGAACCTCGAAGTGCAGATTTCGTGGCAGGTACAGCGCTTTGTGAACCTCGAAGTGCAGATTTCGTGGCAGGCGCAGCACTTTGTGCTGTCAGATGCTCACCTCGCTCTCACTCACACTCACACGCACACACGCTCACACTCTCTCACTCTCACCCTTTCACTCTCTCACTCTCTCATTCTCTCACACTCGCACTCACACTCACTCACACTCACGTTCACACTCACTCTCACACTCACTCTCACTCACACACACTCTCACTCGCACTCACAATCACTCACTCTCACTCACACTCACCCTCACTCTCACCTTTCTCTCACACTCACTTTCACTTTCACTTTCACTTTCACTCACTCTCACTCTCACTCTCACTCCCACTCTCACTCCCACTCTCACTCTCACACTCACTCTCACTCTCACTCTCACTCTCACTCTCACTCTCGCTCACTCACTCTCACTCACTCACTGTCACTCACTCACTCACTCACTCACGCACGCACGCACGCAGGCACGCACGCACGCACGCACCCACTCACTCACTCACTCACTCACTCACTCACTCACTCACTCACTCACTCACTCACTCACTCACTACAATCACACACTCTCACTCACACACCCACACTGACACTTACACTCACCTTCCCTAGACTTTCTGCTTATCCACTGTTTGGGGTCTCTTGCCGGGATAATAGTATTTTTTCAAAACTCTACATTTGGTGTGAATTGATTGTTTGAGCTGAACAGCTAGTGCATTCCAGATTCCAGGCTCCGTGCAGAAAATGGCATGGGGTGAACTATGGAAATCGCTTCATTCCAGAAGATTGGATGAGGCGCCAGAATGGAGATTTTAACAACACTGATTTGACAAATGAAAACATTCATTGTGACGTGACAGGAACAAACCATGACAATTAATTGAGTTTGTTATATCATGTTGCATTTGGTCCTTTCATTCATGGTATCTCCTCCAACCCATAAAAAACCTGGCATCAGTAGGTGATTATAGTTCCCATGAGTTGAGAGAGAATGAAGATGCATGGACCAAGGACCCCTACTAGGGGTTCCTGGCATCGCTACTAGGACCATTCTTACATGTGGAGAAGATCTCCGCGGCCCCTCCGGCCAGGCATCCCTACAATTTCTTCCAGCCCGTCCGCCGAAGCGCACGACGAGCGGCCTTGTGGGACTTAAAAGGACCAGAAGCCAAACAGAGGACTGTCCAACAGCGGTCGCAAAGTCTGGGGAACGTCTAGGGCCTAGGGATTTTTTTTGCCGAAACGTGTGGGTTTTGGAGTGGAAGAGGAGAGAGAGATTGTGATGCATTGTTCCATGTACTGAATCTTTGGTTTGCATGGGATTATTGTAACCTGATCATGTGATCGTATGGGATGAACTTGCGATTGTAGATGTTTTCAATCTTGTCAATTTCTCTCAATAGCTGGAACCAAACGACATTCCATTGCTCTGGCACATGGAGACTACAACAACTGCATCAATTGTTCGCATCTTTGCAACCACTGCGTTACCTATGTGCCTTGAGTTTTGACGATGTCAACTTTGGACCCTTCCTTAGCCTTTACTATTACCCTGTACCTTTTCATGGCTTTTGATTTTGGAGGATGATGTCATGGCTAGATGCCACAATCTTAGAGAATCACTTCGCAGAGATGAAGACAATGGGCGTTGAAGTCTTGCGGGTACCCTGTGGCTATTGGAACTGGGTGACGTATGCCCATGATGATGGGCCGGAAGTATCAGGGGTCTATGCCACGGGCCCAATCCGAGAACCTTGGCCTTGCAAGAATGTGTAGCGTAGTGATTTGCAAGGGGCCTTGTATATAAATAGCATTATTGAATCATTGTTGTATCAACCTAATCCTAACAGTTTGGCTTTATCAACCAGCTGTGGTTTGGCGCTGCAAATGAACAGTTATCAATGTAATTGTGAATGCAAAATAGTACGAAGATAGACGAAGTCTACCATTGCATGACTTCGACTGTGTCAGCCAAGGACAGGCTGAAAAACCTTCATCGGATTGCTTCTCCCCGTGAATACAGACAATACTTTGACAAAATTTTTGACTTCGCAGAACGGTGTCTTTGCAAAATCCTTGGAGTTCAGCAAGCAAAATGGCCTATAGGGTTCAGCTTCTCCTTGACCAACAAGGACGCTTATATATAATATACCAATTGACAGCCAGTAGTTAGCAGGTTGCAACGCACTCCCTGTGATAAGAGCTGTGTCAAAGACAAGTCTATGTTCAGAGTTGTGTGGTTTGTCCTTTTCATTTGTTCGCTATTTGGTGTACATGATGCCATGCGTACGTTGCAGCTCCAACTGGCAGATGAAATATTGCCAAGCATGATACTGTTGACGGAAGAAATCACTTTTGTGAGGATGATACCTGAAGCCCTCGCACTCCCTCTTTAACATGGTCGACTCATCAAAACCTGCAAAGGTTCCACCTGCCGGCACCACCTGCACGACCTCCCTGCATGACACATAGAAATTGAATGAAATTGAATAGGGGCGAGGGGCTGCTTGTTTGTCTGGTGTGGATGAGTTAATTCTGTGTCAAGGGGCGCAGGATTTCTTCCATCAACCATAGGAAAGACTTCTCCATGCTCCCTACACATGCAAGCTTGTGAGCTTTGCAAGGCACGGGATACAAATCTTGCTTGATTTGCATGCCGTGCCAGGACTGAGAACACACTATTGTGACATTGTGTGTTTGTTACAAGAAGTTTAGAGGGTCTGTCAGCCAATGCTACTGAAACTAAGAGTTTAGTGTCCGTTTTTGGTTGATCTGAGAGAATGATGATGTGCGTCGCATTGCTCAGTGCTTTCCTGAATTATGGCCGTGGAGCTGCAGAGCTTATGCCAATAACATCAGCAACATCATCATTTTGGAGTAGTGACTGTGACTAGAATGCAGCTTTGTACCGATTGTCTCTCCTTGTTCAATAAACCGCATTGCATGGCAAGTAAGTATAAATAATTTTGCCCACCTGAAGTGGCATGCACCAGTCTGAGCACTCGCGAGGATCCCAAAACGGAGAAATCCACAGTGGCGTTTGCATTGAGTCAAACGAGGACGAACATCATCGACATTTGGGTTTCTTTCAGTGCCAGGCTCTGTGAACCCGCTAAGCATTTTTAGTCTAGTTATATTGCTGGGCTGGAACTAGACTCTTCTGCTCTTGACCTTTTGATAAACGAAGGCTGCACTTTGATAGGAAGGGCGATTGCTGCTGGGTGTATATAGAATCTTGTAACATGAGGTGGGAGGTGATGAGGTGCTGCATGATGTTCACAAGTTTCAGCTGCTCTGCAAACATGAAGAAATGCGACCGAAACCTGGCAGTTTGACAACTCAAAAACGACTACCACTACGCAGGCAAACTTGCGCATGGCCGTCAATGCCGTCCGAGAAATGGCTAGGTATGGAAGGAGCACCCTTGCTGCACTTCGCTATGGGATCCATTCATGTACGTTGCACGTTCCACCACTCACTGCATCCTATGGTTATAGTACATGTTGGTTTTGATACAAAGTTGCAGGGCTTGAGCCAACCTTGCAATTGGTCAGCATGCTGCTCCCTGAGGTAAGAGGAATTTGTTTGGGATCCAAGTGATTAGCGAGCCGCACCTTCATACAGATGAGGGACACGCATATTTGCAATCCTACTATCAACAAGCCATCCTGGCAGCACGGGAATTTCTGGATAGCAGCGTGCCCATCGTTCTCTTCGAGTGGACCTATGAGATGTTAAAGTGGGATGATGATGCATTTCCTGAGTCCACCTATGGAAGAGCATCTTGGCATGGACACCTGCCGAGGCTCAACCCAGTGAAATGATACTTTTGATCAAGCATCTGAAAACAACATGTGGATGTTCGCAAGGGCTAGATATGGAAGAACAGCTCCTTGTGAAAAGAGCCTTGGTAGTGCTTCGCTGGGCTGCCTCTGTTAAGTTGTACTTTTTGACCAGATATATAGTGGCTGGCACTGAATAAATAATTACTGTACTGCTGAAGTTCAGCACAGAATTCAATAGTCAGCATCACCAAGATGTCTCCTGGTTTGAAGTCAGTCAGACCTTCCCTAACAGCTTGCTCGAGCAAAAGTCTTGCATATCATGGTAGCGCACTAGCCAGCAACCAGGTATGCTGGGATACCCACCTCTACCATTTTCCGGCACCTGGCGAGAAATGGACTTCGGAGAACAATGGTTTGGAACAGGCAAAGCATCTTGACTGCAGGGACATGTTTGTGTGCATCTCTCTTAATGCAGGTCACAGGATTGTCAACTAAGTATTGGCTGCTGGTAGCAAAAGTTCGGATGTCCTAGCTTAATTGTCGTCAATTTATCAAGTTAAGGCAAGCCTATTCCTGGGATTTACAGCAATTGCGACAATTTGCACGTGCACAAGGACTGGGTCGGGCTGAACGTGTGCTGACGATTGTTCCTAACAACCACTTTATTGACAACCTGACCAGTTTTCTTTGACTTGTCTCGAGAGTCAAGCATCTCCATCAGAATTGAATTGGAAGTCCATTTACGCCTGGCAAATATCTCTCCGTTCATTAAGCGAGTTCGCCATAAGCACGACCGCTTCTCAATCTGGACCTCCGTCTTGTGAAGTTCAGGCCGCGACCGCGTCTTCGTGGGCGAGTTCTCCTTGGCGGGACCCTCGCTGAAGGCCAGCGAAACCAAAGACTTTGCAGCATGGCTTGTGGAGCAGATGGACTTCGCGTGTGGTGGTTCGATGCTTTGGTCCTATGACAATCGGATCACCGCATGGAGCACCTCGAAGCAAGTGGCATGACGGTCCAACACATGTTAGTTGATCAAGCAATTCGGTGGTGATGGGTAATTTGTCAGAAAAAGTCGTAAAAACTCTATTTATATGTGATTGGATGCCAAAAGCGCTATTACGCCGGCTGAATTTGATTGTTCTAGGACCTAACATTGGTTGCATGTGGAAGAGATGTCATCAGTTTCAGTCTCGAAGATTGCAGGTTTACAACGTCAGTGGCAGGAATTGGGCCTCAACTGGCGGAGCCTTTGGGCAGAGTCGGATGGTGCTTTTCTTGAGGGTCCCATGGTGGGCTTCCGTGCGGCCGCCTTTGGCACGTGGCTGCGGGCCACTGAGAAAGGAGAAGAAGTGTAGAGATCTTGGGACGGGGAAAGGGAGGATGATGAACATATTAGAATGCTTAGAATGGCAGGCTCTTAGGAACTTCACTGCACTGTCTTTCACTTTGAATCCAAACTTGTTCGTATACGATTAGTCAGTTGCATCGACATGAACCAGCTTAGTGCTGATGGGAAAAGGTCCAGCACATGTGGCTTTGAGGCGGGAAGTTTTGCTCAAACACATCTTAGCTATACAGATTACATGTATCGTACGCAGATCAAATGCAAGACTTCTTGGTTGAGATTCAGTCATTCAGGAGCTGTGGAGGCTGATGCACCTGAGCACTCTTGGTGGGAAGAGTGGGTGCCATATACCTATCGCGTGCAAGGCAGACAGAAACTGGCCTTGAGGTCTGCAGCCTTTGGCACCTGGCTTAGCGTCACCCGGGAGGGAGAAGCTTGGCAAATTTTGAGGATCGCAGTCAGAGTGCGATGAGAGAAGTCACACGTCACTATTCTCATTTTAGAGAACCGAAGTCACACTTGGAATGTTCGGCGGGCCTGCGTCAATTCTCACACCAGGGTTCCAAAAATACTTAACTTTTTCCGACACTTCGGGTTTGACCTGTGTTGCGTATTTGTTGAGACGCTTCAAGATGCGCTGAGGAAGTGGTCCAGTCAAATGACAGGTCAGCCTGGGAGGAGAAGCTGCACTTTGAGCAAACCTTGTAGCCACACGCTAGCACATTGCTAGATTTCGTGTTTCCGGTGCCTCTAAGGGCAATTCTGCCCTTGGGACCAAAGGTTGACTGAAACCTTGCAGATGGCTTCCGCATGCGTTAAATGAGTTTCGTGGAGGAGTTTTCAGTCCTTTCACATTCAGATCACGAAAGTCGAGGGCGTCGCATCTCCCTCCAGTCCTTTCACGGCTCCTGGCTAGCCGAGCCTCGGAGAATTGGAAGAGCCAGGAATAGTGAACGAGGATCAAGGAGAATGGGCCATCCATGTGCCATCCATCTCGAACAGCACGACTTGTTTGCATGTCCCGTATCTTAGAACCGGATAGGTACGATGGGCTGTAGCAGCCGTTCCCCTTTCAACGCCCAAAATAGTCCATGGAAGTGTTGAAGTGATCCTCGAACTCTTTGCAGTTTGCACGCTTTGAGGTAAGACGCTTTCGGCCCAACGACCGCCTCTTGCTTTCTGCTGCCTATTCCATTCATGACACCGAGGCTGGGGACGTGTGGGACCAACCATGTGATCATGGGGATGCTTCAGATGCCACGGTCAATTGATGTGAGCAACCCTTGGTTCGACTGCGTGCAGCGTTTATTTTTTTTGGTTCGGTTCTGTTCGTTGCAAGATCCAAACCCCACAGTTCCAAGACAACTGCAACAAATATAACAATCCAAAGCACCTATGATGTTCGGAGTTTGACACCGTGTGTTTGACATGTGTGGGTCACCGTTTGCTTGGCAGGTGACCACAACCTGGCTGGTGACATGAGCTCAATCGCTGCTTCACGTGGGATCCCGAAAGAAGGATCGAACGCCGCAGGAAAAGGAAGCTGTCAAGTGACTTGGTTTAGCCAACTGTTGGCCAATTCATGTTTGTTCTTGTATTCTTGTACTTGTTCCGGACTCTTGTTCATGCTGATCGTTACCTAAGATGCTTCCAGAGAGCCTCCAAAAATCGGAGGAGTCCTCCAAGTCTTGCCTGCAAAGGCAGCGGGACGACCAGGAACAAGAATTGATAAAATCCAGAAATCTACTAATCTCTATATAGAGAATTTCTAGGGATCCTCGCAGAAGATTCTTTTGTTTGGCTTGGGTATAGCCTTTGAAGAGGTTTGATGACCAGGACCCTGGAAGAGTACTCACTACTCACTCATTTTCACGCTTGAGTCCTTTTCAACCAGCACGGACGTTTTGTCAAGGAAGATAAGGAATAAGGAAGGCTCAGCCTCAGATATGAAATATCATGAAATATCCAAGGTAAGGTAAGGTGTATTAGTAATTAGTATAAGTGTGTATATATATATAACTTCAACAGAGGCTAGATAATACCTTACATAGACTAGACAAACAGAAAAACATCGCATCACCACACTGAGAATCTGTTAGACATCTCCAAACTCAGCACAGACAAATCACCACACCCTGCCCAAACTCAGCAAGGATGACAAGAAAAATGGGAAGACAGGGGCAAATCGCGAAGGCTACTGCAACTATTCCAAATGACCAAGCGCATCTCAAGAATGCACATGTTGCCAATAATAACATACGATCCACTGAAATTGCAAGAGAACATCATGCTTCACCTCACAGCCACCGCAACATGTGTTACTGATTGTTACTGTGTTAAAAACAAGAACGTCAATCATCGCAACTCTACAAATCACCACATTGTACCACCACAGATACCTCCACACCACACAAGACCACATTGCGCACAAACACGCCACACATTGTCAGGTCGCAACAATGGATTTTGTTCTGCCACAGTGTCCATTTTGGAACTGGCTTTGACCCAGACTTTTGGTTTGATAAGCTTTTGTGCGCTTGCGTGGATCCCTTTGCTGCCTTAGCCTCAGCCTTTGAATCATTGGTGGCCGGCCATTTGGCAAGTGCTGGCCCCCATTCTTTGCGGCTGTTGCCCTGAGACGTTTACAAACATGAAGAACTGGTAACTGCATCTGTAAAGTACAATCTTCTTGCAGTCGTTGGTTGGTGGCGACAGCCGAGTCCAGTCATCTCCTCTTTACCATTTATGTTAGAAGTCCCTGGCATGGCTATCTTCTGAGCATGCCCCACAAAAAGGACAGCCAAATATGCAGCAGAAGAGTCTCGACCTGACTCCAGCGTTGGATGCTCATGTCACATTCCCTTGGAGCTCTTGAAACTCCGACTTGGCCAGGCTGATGGGCCACGGGAGAAGAAGAAGAAGGCAAACATAAGATATGCTATTATTTTTTGCCAGTGGGGTTAGGCGGCTAGTAGCTTACTTAGGCTACTAGTATGGACGCAGGATAGCTCACGCTTGCACTAATGATTTGGTTCCTAGATTTTTTAAGGGAAACTTATCTTATATATATATTTTTTTTTAGTCCAACTTTGTCTTATTCGTCTATTCCCTTCTCAAGCTGCATTGGGCAGTCGAAAACTGCTGAGTTCAGCTGAAAAGTCAGGCTTAAGTTGAAGCATTGACACTTGTATCTAGAGATTGAGTTCGCTAGGCTAGGTCCTTGAATTCATCTCGTGATCACAGTCAAAACAGGTTTCAGGGGACATGCATCGCTTCCATGCATAGTCACGTGTTCAAGTCTTCGCTAGGATCTCAAACATTGCCTTTGATTTTAGTGAGGTAGCTGAACAACAGCTTTGATTTCTGATAGGGTTTGAGGCTGGCTGGTTCCACCGATGCTTACCAAGATTCTTCAAAAGGTGCATTGCAAATGCACGACAGCGAAAGTAAACATTGTTTGTCGATATTAGGCAAGCAAATCTTGGCGCCAAAACCGGGTTCGCAGCCTTCGGTGCTGTCTTGGCCTGTACTTTTTTAAACAAGGGTGAGCGGCTATGACACTACGACAAGGCACTTCTAGAAAGGCATCAAGTTGCATAGATCCAATGATTCTAATGGGCGAGACTGGGAGACCCAAGAGCCAAATGACGATGCATTTAACCTACTGTACATGAAACGCACGTAGCGTAGCTGGGTCTCGGTCGCAAGCGGCACGCACTTCCATGCATCGTGTGCATTGTGTATCCTAGTAATGGGATGTGAGTAGTGAAGTCCAGACCTGAAAGATTTCATTTGGTTTGCTCTTGATCTTTGATTTCCAGATACATACAGCAGAGACTTTTGACTTTCAGGGTGCTTGTGAAAAGGAAGCCAAGGCGTGTGGGGTGACATTGTTTGACATTGGAATGATGTTGAATGACAGTGTCCAGATGAACTGAACAGAAGAGACCACAATTTCATCATGGCTTCCGCTTTAGGTTTGGTGTCTGTCAAGTACTGCGTGGTCGTTTATAGAGTCCCGGGCACTCAACCTGTCGTAGGTGGAAGTGAAGGTGAAGTCATCCAAGGCCAAAGAGGTCGAAGCCAAAGAGGCGATGGGCCTTGAAGAGGCTATGTTGAAGACCATCGCTAGGAACAAGGGACGCTACTAGTCACAAGAAGCATCAAGAAGCTATTCAAATTTTAGGTTGGAGGCCATCACCTTGAAGAGGCTTATGCTGGATGAATCTGAAAAACTCGTTCAACTGGACGTCATCCTGTCGATCGTTCGACTCATATGCGGCACACTACTGCCGGACGTTCGTAGGAGATGTTGCGTCACTGGGGTATGAGCCAAACCAGATCATGTCGAGTGGCTTGCAGGAAAGGCTAAAGGAAAAGAAGAAAGATAAAAAGAAAAGGAAGAAGGACCATGTTAGCATTGATCGAGATCTTGGACCGGATCTTTCAACTGGAACTAGAGATGATCTACACACAACCACCGCAAAAGATCTCAAAAGATGCTGCTTTGGAAAGATCTGGACAAACCTCAGGAGCATCGAGACAGAGAGAGAGAGAGAGAAAGAGAGGGAGAGAGAGAGATGAGATACCGGGTAGCCCGTAACAGTTGTATACAGTTGTCAGTTTATCGCTTTGCACGAAAAGTATCGAAAAGTTGTTTCCAGGATCATGCAGAATACCCAGACTCCTACAGCATGATGAGCCAGACCATGTTGGCACCCATGATGAGCATGATGAGGCTGGCACTGCATTTGGAGCAATTTTGATCAACTTATCAGACCAGCCAACAAGGTATCCGATGATGCCGGGAGCTCAAGCCTGGCTGTCCGACCCGGTTCGACCCGCTTTCTTTGGGCGTTTCTGCCTGTTTCCATGCGCCGCATGTCGGGGTGAAGCCAACGAGGCCCGGAATGATGATGATGCCTGGTGGCCTCATTGGTGCACCTCTCATCAGCGGGGTCGGGATCACAGCAACCACAGTGATGACAGTCGTAGTTGTGAGATGTTGTGAGTCTTCATACGGTTTGCTTGTTTTATTGTTTGTGATTGAACCACCCGGTTTTCAATGCTCAGGTCGGCCCACTGGGGATGCATGGAGCTCCCACTATGCCATACCCGCTACCAGGACGGGTTCAAAGCCTGTCTTTTGCATGGAATGAGCCTTGAGTATCTTGAGTGTACAAGGAAACATCGATTTTCTGTGCATTGCTTGGTATAAATTTGCCGTTTTGGATCCTATTGTCAGGTGTCCCGATGGTCTGGGACTTAAGACCTTTGAATCGCATTCTTTCTTGACACTGCTGGCAATTTTGTGCATTTGTGAATGGCGACTGGGACGACTTGTTCCACCTAAGTCCATCATCTCAGGTTCGTCCTGCACCAAAAGCTCCAGAAAAGAAAAAGGCACCTGCTTCATCCTGCTTCAAGGGACATAGACTCTTACAAGCTCAAGCTGCAATCGAGAGTATGGTAGGTGGAACACAATCCACAACAACTATATACATGTAGGGTCAGCAAATCATGACCTTCTGACCTACTTCTTGCATTTGCTACTGTACTTGCATTTTTGGTGCTAGCTTGACGATGTGTTGTGTTCCGATGTGTCCATGCTGTGGGTATTAGTGTCCGTTGCTTTGGGGTGTATTGCCAGGAAGAGAAGCGGAGGAGGTTTACTGAGGCCCTGGTTTGCTGGGGTAGGCATACCCGGTAGACAGCAACTCCAACGCGCCCGTGCTGACAAGAAACCATCAAGGATGAGGCTTCAAATGATTTGGTCTACTGGCTGAAATATACTGAAATATTCAAGGCTGTTCCTTTCAAGCTCTTTCCATTTCTTTGTTTCAGTGAGCAACTTGCTTTCCTGATAGGCGTGATTCTTACAACCAGCTTTTGCTTCCCGCAAATGTCTCTTCGAGCAGCATTGGTTGCTGTAAATTGGCGATGCTGTCGAAACTGAGTAGTTCCCGTGCAGACACCAGCTCCACCTCCTGCAGCTCCGGAGCCACCAGCCCCAGAAGTGGAAGTGGCAGAGGCAGCAGAGGCAGCCTCTAAAGTCTGTAGTCCGTAGTTTTCAATGCCTGTGACCGTGCTTAGTGCAGCCATCCATCACTGTAAGGGATCAAACATCTGGTGGGCAGAAGGCTTGCACCTATTAGGTTTGCGTTGCATGTCAACTTCCTGAAGCCCGTTCGGATTGAGCCTGGCACTGAAAGCTGAGCTATGGCCACTGGTAGTGCTTTAAACACCGCAATTCTCCTCGAGTGGATTTCATGAGGACTACAAGGCTGCCTACAGTTGTTTGTCCTCAAATGAGACATCATACAAGCGTCCTGCGCCCTGGATGCCACATGCACCAGAAATAAAAGCACATTCCGATGAATAAGGTGTACCTATATAGGTGAACCGGGTCAACTGCTTTCTTAATTTTCCTTTTATTGAGTGTTCTTTCAGCGTCTGGCCCGAAAGCCTTCCAGTGGTGACGCTGTCATCACCTGAAAATCGGGTGTCCGTTTTTGCCCCTTGTTCATGTCGATCCTTCTGGACCCGCGACTGCAGCCGCCTCCTGTGATCGGTGGCCGGTACACGAGCCGGTTTCACCTTGGCTCCTTGGACTCCCCCTTGCCTCTCTTTGACTTGAGGGGATTTGCCTGTGAGATTCGAAATCTGCCTGAGGGATGCAAGTTTCCGCTCACTGGATATGACTTGGTCGTCCTGACCACAGAGCCACTTTCGTTGGAGGTTGATGGTCTCTCTTGGTTGGCCACTCCGCCTGTTTGCGATCATTTCGCGGCACAGGTGGTTGATGCTTGTGCTGGCCTTGGGGCTACTACGATGGGGGCGCAATTCATGGGTGCTCGTGTTCTTGCGCACTTCGAGTGCAATGGGCTTTCTTTGCGGCATCTTCGCCGGAACTCCAATGCTCCGGTGCTTGACGGGAACCTTTGCAGTGACTCGGATTTGAAGAGATTTCATCAGATGTTAGATGGTCAGCTTTTCACTCTTTTTGCTGGGTTCCCCTGTCAACCATACTCTGATCAGGGTTCCCAGTGTTCGCAGAGGGACCCTCGCTCAGCTGTGTACTGGGCTGTTCTGCGGTGCATCATGTTACTGCAAGCTCAATCAGCGGTGTTGGAGTGCACGCCAGCTGTCTACTCGGATCCGGACATCCAGGCTGGCCTCTCTCAAGTGCAAGCCACTCTTGGCTGGCAAGGCCACCAGTTGATCTTTGACTTAGCCGCTCAATGGCCAATGCATCGTCGGAGATGGTGGTGTTCGCTGTGCCCAAGTTCATGGTCTTTTCCGCCTTTGGCTCCATGGCCTACCTCGTCGTCTACAACTAAGGTTTCTTCGATCTTTGAATCTTGGGGCCTTTGGTCTGAGGACCATGAAGCTGATCTTCAGCTGACCCGTGCCGAATTGGCAGCATATGGTAATCCAGCCTTCGGCAGTGATCGACGACTAGCCACTCTGGATGATACCATGCCTACGGTTCTCCATTCTTTTGGTTGCGCTCTTCAAGGTTGCTTTTGCGGGTGCAGAGATCGTAGCTTTGCTTTGTCTTCACTACAGACCAAAGGACTTCGAGGCATCCTGGTCATTTCTGAAGCTCATTTACAGCCTCGTTTTTTGCACCCAGTTGAGTTGTCGTCTTTGCTCTCCATTCCTCCGGATCAACATTGGGAGTCACAGCCGAGACAGTCGCTTTGTTTGCTTGGACAGTCCGCTGCACCACTGCAAGCGTTGTGGATGTACTCTCATCAAGCGAATGCAGCCGCCTCTCAATTTGGGCATTCTCGGATTGATCCTCTAGTTTTGGTTCATCAGTACAAAATTGCCTTGTGCAAGCAGATTCGACAGACTGTTCCTTGGGCTTATCCAGAACGTCCTCGGATGTTGAAGGTCGAGGCCTTGGATGGTTCCTTGCTCTATATCTTGAAGGAAGGCATGGTTACGGTGGGCCAGTTGCTCAAGGCCGAATCCATTTCGCTGGGTTGGGGAGAAACAATGTGTTGTCACTCCATGCATGGCCAAATGTCCCAGGACACGGTGATTGATGAAGAGATTCCAGTTCAGCTCTGGAGTCATCCCAAGCGGCAGGCGAAACCACAGCCTGCTGGGTTGGTTGCAGTTGGCATCCAACATGACAACCAGTTGTATATCTCTTGCGTGCCCTATGGTTCGTTTATGTTTGAGGCTTTGGCGGAGCATTCCCTGCACATGGTGCTGTGGCTGGTCGACGAGGATGGCAGGGTATATGGGCGTGACTATCGGATTTGGTCCACTTTGCGGCTTTCGACTTTGTCGCCCGGTTCCTTTCCATCCCCCTCGCCTTTGCCTTGTACTTCATTGATGGATCAACAAGCTTGTGTGGCAAGTGTGAATCAGGAGGTCGGATTGTCAGGCCATACGGTGTGGCATGCAATGTGTTCCATGTGCAGATCTTCGGATTTGATCGATCATGAGACTTTGCTGCACCTTCATCCTGAGCTTCTTCATCATTTGTTAGCGGACTCTCTTTCGCCTGATCGTGTTCGAGTGTTGCGGCACCTCTGGGCTTGCAGTCAGGGACTGGCGGTTGGATGTTTTTCAGCTCATGGGCATTGGGCGGTGTTATGTGGTCGCCAAGACGAGACGGAAATTCGCTGGACTTACTATGATGGTTTGCCAGGACATTTGCTAAACACCGCTTTGCTCTTGGCGCAAAAGTTGTCGGCTATCTTTGAGCTCACCTTTGTCGATTTGCATGTTGGGTCTTTGATTCCTCAAGCTCACGGCTTCACTTGTGGGGCAGTGGCATTGGCTCATGTTGCTATGTTGTTAGGTCTTCAGGGCTCCTTCTCGGAAGATCATGTGCTCCAACTACACTCTTGGCTTCTATGTCATCAGAGCAAACGTGATGCTTTGGTGGGCTATGGTCGAGATGATCCAGTGCTTGCCCAGTTGATTGACTTGCTTTCTTCCAAGGGTGTACCTGTCGGCGAAGTCTCCGGACGTGCTCAGCAGGCTATGGATGCATTGGGTCGTGCTTCAGTTCTCCAGGCCTTGAGTTCCAAGAATCCTTGGCAGCGCCTCAAAGCCACAGCTTCCAAGCCTACGATTCAATTCAAGTTTCTCAAGCCTCATGAGCTGGCTGCCTACATCGAGCAACAGGCCAACAAGCGTTTTGGAGCTGAGTTGAAATCCAAGAAGGAGAAATCTTCGATCAAAAAACCAAAGATTGCAGATATTCAGTTGGATCCTAAGCTGTTGACTCTCATTGCTGGGCACTTCAAGGACTCCTCAGGTGACTCTGTGCCGCAAATCCTTTTGGAGCAGGTGCAATCAGAAGCCCGAGGCATTGCTGTTGTCTCTCGCCAGGAAGCGCAGCCCTTCTTGGACAATCCTCGATCAATCAGTGTGGACGCATTGGGTCTGCTGATCACAAGCGAGATTGATGGTGCATCATCCGGCTCCAGTAAGGTCACCAACCTTCGTTTTCCGGCTACATATACACCGACTGAGGAATTGATTTTGGTGAATGGTGCTTTGCTGCTACTTGGTGATGTGTTGATCGAACGCCATCGGCCTGCGGGGCCTTCCTCTCTTCCCGATATGGTCGAATCGGTGGTGGTACGCCTTCAGGTCTTCCGGGATGAGATTGAGTCGGACTGGGCTTCGGTTGTCGACTCGCCGATCAAGTTCGTCGTGCACAGAATCCCAATTCTTCAGGTTTGTGAAGGACAGAGCTGCGGTGGATCTTGTCCCAAATACCAGATTTGGGCCAGACGATTTACTTCCTTGGAAGCTCGTCAGGCGCCAGCTGACCAAGCTGTCTGCTTCACTGCTTTCCTCAGGGTGATCAAGCCATTATTGCAGCCTTTGTTGGCCAGTGTGACTGATGGCATTTACTTTGAGCCTAGATCCTCTACTGCTACGGGGCCTGATCCTGAGTTTGTTGTGCTGTGGTTGGGCTCCATTCCGAAGCATGATGCGGTTCACAAGCTCCGTACCATGGGCAATGTGGTTGGCCTGGTTAGGATGCAGATGAAGTTTGGCCTCCGCGTGAGAGCCTCGGATGCCGAAAAGGTACACAAAGAATTGAGACCTCAGGTACCTTTTCATTTGGGTCGCCCTACGTTGACTTTTCGAGTTCATCCTCTGCCGCATGGCTTGGATCGCCGGGGAGTTGAGAAAATCTTGAAGGAATGGGCCTGGAAGGCTAGGCCATTGCAGCCAACCAAAGGCACTGCTTTGGGTGGAGCATGGTTGATCGGGGCGGACAGTCCACCATCTCAGTCCGTTCTGACAGCTTTCAACCAAGATGTTTTGATCAACCAGATCCAGCAGCAGGAGATTGTTGAGCGCAAGGTGCAGTTTCATGCCAGCAAGAAGACTATTTCTCACGCTTCGACGTCCTCTACTCAGGCTGCCAGCAGTTCCGAGAAGACAGATCCTTGGTTGGTCAAGTCAGCTGATCCTTGGGCCAAATTCCTTCCCACAGTGATTCCTGGTTCATCCAGTGGCCAGAAACATATTGATGAGGTTGCAGCCAAGTTGAAAGAAGACATCACGGCTTCGGTTGGACAGAACTTGCAAGCTCAGGTTGCTTCCATGGCTCCGTCCACAGGGAGTACTCAGGCTCTCGATGATCTTCGCTCCCAGACTGATCAACGATTCAAGCAGGTTGAATGCTCACTCAACGAACTACGGGCCCAGAATGTCAACTTCCAGTCTTGGTGTACGGAGGCCTCCAAACGGATGGAATCTGCTGAGCAGGGCACCCAACAATTGCAGTCCAATCTGTTGCAAGTACAGCAGGAAGTACGACATACTGCTGATGCTCTGCAGCACTCAGTTCAGCAATCCTCGAGTGCTTTGCGTGGCGAATTCGTCAGCGAGCTGGAGAGCAAATTGTCCAGTCAATTTGAGAAGTTTGAAGCGCTCTTGTGCAAGAAATTCCGGACCGAGTGACTAGGTCATCCAGGCTCCTCCTTTCGACCGTGGTGGAGGCCTGGCAGAATGAAAGGTCTGTTGTTTCGGTTGATTTTGCTCTTTGCTTGGCTCGGTGTTGCGCTGGGTGCCTCGGAAGATTCCCTTGCTCGGCCCTTCGTTCACAGCACGGCCCACTGGGACCGTGATTTTGAGTCGGGGATTTCTTCTGGAGCGGACCGGCTGCACCCGAGAGTGGAGACGATGGTTGTGGATGAGGTTGACTGTATGTTACCCTTGAGGGCGGTTTCTGTTGTCCATGTGACGTGTATTGGGACTGGGGCGGATGGTCCTTTTGCACCCCCAGTGGACTGCTTGCTTGATGTTAGCACCTTTTCTCCAAGGTTGCTCAATCCCCGCTTCATCAGCTTCACCCGTGTTGGAGAGGCTGCCAATCCTGGACCAGCATCACAGTTGCTGGTCTCCGTTTCAAATCCTAGTGGGCTTCGCCAGAAAGAAGAAATAGTCCTTTCTCATGGACCGGGTATCTTCTCGCTCTGTGAAACTCAATGTTCCCGATATACACAGCATTCTTGTAAGAAGCGTCTAAGATCTCTGGCCATGGCGGAGGGTCGCGTTGTGCGGCCATTGTTTGGGGCCCCGGCGGCCCTGAGAGCCGGTTCGTCATGGGCCGGGACTTGGACAGGAGTTGCAACCATTAGTGACTTCGTGTCTCGACCTTTGACCTTGTCCTGGCAGTCGCATGAATATGAATCAGGACGCTTGTTGGCCACACAACACTTCGTGCAGGGAGTTTGTTTGACGAAGGCAGTGGTCTACGGGTACCCTTCTTCGCCTACTTGGCCTCGTTCTCGTGCTTTGACCACTGAGTTGCTGGGAGTGGTAACTCAAGACATTGTTTTGGGAGCACGGGGTCCCCGTATCATTGCGGGCGACTTCAACGCCAGTTCCACAGAGTTGAGTGTCTTTGACACTTGGAGACGGCTTGGGTGGCAATCAGCCCAAACTTGGGCCTTGGATCACTGGCATCAACCCGTCCGTATGACCTATAAGGGCCAGACAGAGCCCGATCAGGTGTGGATGTCTCCGGAGGCTCAGGCTCTATGCACTGCTGTTCGTGTTTTGGATCATTTCATGGAGCATTCTACAGTTCAGGTGCAGCTTGACATGTTGCGCTCCCCTGGGGCGGTGTTGAGATGGACAAGACCTTCAGTCATTCCCGTCGCGGAGGTGGATGACGCTTGGCCATCTTCACAACCGGCCTCCTTGCCTGACTCTACGGACTCCGATGTCTTGTTTCAGGTTTGGGCTCGCAGCTATGAATCCAGTTTTGATGGACATCTATGCTCACAGCCAGGTAGTTCCTTGACTCCTCAACAACGAGGCCGTTTCCAGCATTGTTCTCCTTCTCTTCATCGTGTGTCGAATGTGGTGTGTCGACCTAGTCGTGAGGGTGAAGTCCGTATGAGAAATTCTTTGCTGGGCACCTCGGTTGTGTCTTGGTTCCGCCAACTTCGACGATTACAATCTTATGTGCACGCCATACGGGCTGCCAAATCCTCTTCCTCGGCTGTGGTGTATCGGCTTGAGCTTTGGTCTGCGATCTTAGCTGCTCGGGGCTTTGATCACAGCTTTTCGTGGTGGTGGCAACACTTTGGTTGGGAGGCTGATCCTTGTGCACCGGCCTTTTTGCCCTCGCAGCCCCCTGATGTAGCGACGGCGGAGGCCATTTTTGCGGCCTTTCGCTGTCGTTATGAGCAGTTTGAAGCTTGGCATCTGAACCAGAGGAACTCAATGCTCAAACAAAAACATGATCGAACCCTGGGGGCGTTGTATCAGGACTTGAGAAAACCTGCTCCAGAACAGTTGGATGGCCTATGTCAAGAACAGGTGTTTTCTGTGATTGGCTTTGACAATGCCACCCACCAGATTCAATTGGACGAGATTCCATCGTTGTCCGGCACGTCTACATGGTATCTGGATGGAGAACCGGTCTCCCTCCTGCATGAACAGGATGATCTTTGTACCTTGGTTCCTTGGCCTTTGGTGTCGATTGACTCCACTTTGCTGCAACGACAATTCTTTACCACCGCCGAGGAGGTTCATTCGCAACTTTTGAGTTTTTGGCAGAAGAGATGGTTGGCCGCTTCCCCCTTGCCTTCTGAGCTCTGGGACCGAGTGGTGGCCTTTTTTCGTGCCTTCATCCCGCAGGTTAGCTTTGACCTTCCGGACCTTTCTGTCCGCCTCTGGCGTGCGGCGCTACGCCGATACAAACCTCGATGTGCGAGGGGGGGTCGATGGCTTCTCCCCGGCTGAGCTCCTTTGCATGCCAGATTCGTGGACAGCACAGCTTTTGACCTTGTTGCATGCCATCGAACGAGGTCATTTGGCCTGGCCAGCGGCCATATTATATGGCACGGTGTTCAGTCTGGCAAAATCGGCAGCAGCCCGTCTTCCTGGAGATTACCGCCCTGTGGTGATTTTCAGTGTCATTTACCGTACCTGGGCCGGGATCAAGGCTCGGGCTTTGATACAACAGCTGGAACCTTTTGTCAGTGCTGAAGCTTACGGCTTTCTTCCCCATAGAGAAGCAGCACAGTATTGGATGGGTGTCCAAGGACATGTGGAACTTTGTCTTTTGTTGGATCGTGATGTTTGTGGTTTCAGTTCTGACCTCTGCAAGGCATTTGAACACATCCCACGTCCTCAGACTTGGGCTCTAGCTGAACATTTGCAGGTTCCAGCTTCGGTCACACTCCCATGGAAATCCTTTCTGGATAATTGTCAAAGAGCATTTGACTACCATGGGGTTTTGAGCGAAGCAAGCGGATCTTCGGTTGGAGTGCCTGAGGGCGATGCCCTCTCCGTTTTCGCTATGGTCCAACTTGATTTCAGCTATCATGTCTACATGGCCAAATTTAGCCCGCGTGCAATTGCCAGCACGTACGTGGACAATATTGGAGTTCGGAGCAATTCGGTGGCGGCACTTATTGCTGGCTTCGTGACCACAACTTCCTTTTATCAGCTATGGAATCTGGAGCTCGACCCTCGGAAGACATTCGTGTGGGCCACCAAACCTGCCCTGCGAAACCAATTGAGGTTGATGCCATGTCCTTGTCGTGAGACTGCAGCTGAATTGGGAGGCTCCATGTCATTCACCGCTCGATCTCGAAACCAGCATCAAGCCGATCGTTTGCATTCTTTGGCTGACAAGTGGCAGCGTCTTCGATTCTCGGCGGCTCCGCTATGCTTGAAACTGCGTAGTCTGGGCCCTTGCTTTTGGTCGCAGGCACTCCATGGTGCACCTTCCTCGAGATTTAGTGCTTCTTGGATTGCCGAGTTGCGTACTCAGGCCATGCGTGCTTTGCGATTATCCAAGACTGGGAGTAATCCCATGCTGCGATTGACATTGAGTGGTCCGTGGGATGCAGACCCCGGGTTCTTTCAGCTCAAAACCACGGTTCTTACTTTTCGCAGGGTCTGTCTTAAAATGGAGCACTTTTGCAATGATTGGTCCACCTTTATGTGTTGTTATACTGGGATTCTTGGACAGGGTCCGTATTCCAAGATTCTGGAACAGCTTCATTTGGTTGGATGGCGATTGTATCTCCCCCATGTTTGGGATCACGACGATCTTTGCCATGATTTGCTTCAATGGGACGACGCTTCTTTGGTCGCGGGACTACATGAGGCTTGGCTGCAGCATGTGGCTTTTGAGGCCTGTCGACGACCTTCCATGACTGGCTTGCAGGGACTTGACTCCGCTTTGCTGGCTGATTTACATAAAGGAGTTTCGGCTCTTCATCATTCCTTGCAGTGTTCCTTACATTCTGGCACCTTTGTTGATGCTGCTCATCATGCCAAGTTTGACTTGGCCAAGACAGCTTGGTGCTCTCAGTGCGACTGTAAGGATGATCAAGCACACTGGTGGAGATGTCCGAGATTTTCTGAATTTCGACGGAGGTCCCAGCTCACTCCGGAGATTTTGGAAGCGGCTCCTTGTCATGTTTCTTGGCATCTTTTGCCTAGCCGTAATCCCACAAGGCGGTGGTTTCGGGAGTATTTTCATATGCGACCAAATGAACTTGCTTTTGTGGGGACAGCGATCCAGCCTTTGGAGCATGTTTTCACAGATGGTAGTTCCAAGAAGTTGGATTGTGGCCTTTCCTATGCATCTTGGGCCGCAATTTCGGCCTCGAGTGGTCAGTTGATCTCTGCTGCTCATTTGGCCGGAGTGGATCAAACGGCGGCGCGGGCAGAGGTTTCCGCGGTTTTTGCGGCTGTTGAATGGGGAGCTTGGCAACACATACAACTGCATTTGTGGGTGGATTCACTTTTTGTTGTGGACAACCTGCATTATTTGCTGCGTACTGGTCATGTCCCCTTGCACTGGAAACACCGCGACCTGTGGGGCCGCATTCATACAGCTTTGGAACAGTCCGAATATCCCCCGTTGGTGACTTGGATTCCTTCTCACATTGATCCGGAGGCATGTGAGGATCCTTGGCAGGATTGGGTGGCCGCTTGGAATTCTAAGGTGGACCTCTGCGCAGGTGAGATGAATGAACGAAGATCTGCAGAGTTTTGGGAGCAGGTGACTCAGGCCGAGGAGTATCACCGGACTACTTTGACTTTGCTCACTCAGGTTCGTTCTTTTTACTGCCATGTAGCTGCCTCTTCTGCTGAGTCATCTACTGAGAGAGCTCAGGTTCCTGAGAGTACCGCATCTTTTGATTTTGAATGGGTGATAGATCGGAATGCTTTGTCCAGCCAGCTTCCGCCTGTTTTTGAACCCATGCTTGAGCGTTGTGCAGTTACTTTACCGCTCACCTTTTTGAGCTCTTTACTCCATTTGTTTTTGAGGTGGGAAACTCAGGCTGATGGTATGTATGGCTGTAGTTTTGTTGAGCTTTTGGTTCTTCTTCAGCATCAGGGTTTGCCTTTTCCCCTGTGTAACCCATCTACAAATCAATGGGAGCTTGTTCCATTGGCCCGAATGCCAGTGCGACCTACCATTTCCAGTTTGATTCGATTGTTGCGTGTTGCGATCGGTTCGATTGCGGAGGTGTTTGATATTTCGGAGATGCTTTCTTTGTCTTTAAACAAACTGGAACTGGGCATTTCAGCACCAGTGGCTGGAATCTTTTTGATGCTTCCGGCTGCGCTTGTGCGCCATGCTCGTGGTGGACTGCTTACCATCACCCGTGGCTGGCCGCTCAGACGGGCGGCTGACTATGCTCGTCCTTTGCCACCTGGGCATTCGATGGGCTAGGCTCGACAGACCTGAGACCGTGCACGCCCGCACTGCTCTGCCGTGCGCGTGCACTTATGCGTCCGAGATATTGAGTGTTCTTTCTTTTTTCTTAACGTTCTTCCTTTAGACACTTTAGACCTTTAAATTCTTCCTTCCTGTCCTTTTTCCCGTGTTTATCAGTTTTTTCACCCCTGCTAAAGAAATGAGCTTTCTGATTGCTCGCCATGGCGTGCAGCTGCTACGCTCTCCAGTCATGGTACGGCACTTCAGTGCAAGATCTGCTGGTCGATATGTGGCTCGAGGTACCCTGACCACCTTAGTAGTGCCTTGGTAGACTTCAAGGGTGGTGGGTGCAACTGTGATATATATATATATATATATGCACAAGACCAAATATATTTGCATTCTCTAGAGGGGCTTTGGAGCTCATATTGCAGCTTGCAGGCTGCTTCGGCTCATTTCCGTGTATCGCAGACAAGATCTCGGACCTCCAAGGCAAATAACCTTTCGCAGGTGCTCCTTATTTCCCTTTCAGAACAGGGATTGTACAACGGTATCATCAATAGAATAGCCAGAATAGCCTTTTCCACAATCGACAAGATGTGGCATGTTGCCAATGAAAAGGTTAAAAGGAGGATTGAAAAGAGCTGCACTCACACACTTGTTCCGTTCCCTATTCTACTCAGAAATGGTGGTAACGCACAGTTGCATGTTGTAGGCACCAGCTCGAAACTGCAACAAGATATAGGACTTTTCAATTCAATACCTTTAATGTATTGGACATGTGACATGTTGGACACAGATTATTCTGTTGAGGATGCAATACATTCTGTAAATTAGGACCAAGTTAGGGATTTCTAGTGGAAGTTGATGCCCTTTCTCTCAGGCAGGTTCTTCAGCCTCCGCCTGGTTTATCTCACAGGGAGTTTGGGGAGCATTGGATGATGCCTTCCCTGGAGGTTCTTCATCGATGCATGGCTGGTTGGAGATCACCCAAATGCCTTATTGACTTTAGTTCATGTTGTTTGTATAAGCCTGAGTGACAATGGCAAGATTCTGGAAAGAGTCGGATAAGGTATTGGACTTGGTGTTTGAAGCTGGAACTGGTGCCCACAGATTGACCAAGGACATGGTATGAGTTCTACTGGCTGTGCTGCAAAGACACAGCTTCCTACTGTTGGACACTGCTGCAGTTGCAGGCACAGCCACAGGGAGCCTTACTCAGTCACACGAGACTGTGGCTTCTGCTGTAGCAGCTTTCTTAGGTGAGAGTCGAATAGAGTCGAGGCAGTTAAGCGTGAAATACGACAAACAGACCACAGACCACACAAAGAATTATGCGAGGCTCGACAAGCATGGCTTCAGCTCAATGGAGAAGCAACAGAAGTCGTCTCGGTGGAGTCAGAAGCCCCACCTTTGAGAGAGCTGCTTAGAGACCGCGCGAAGGCCTTGCCACTTGACATCACTATATGATTGTTGCCAGTATGATTATTGTGCAGTGTGCCTGAATTGGGCTGTATTCACTGCATTCTCATTGGTTCTAGGAACAGCACGAATGATGCAAGCGAAACATTCAGAGGCTACTCAACGCCCCACCGCATCCCAAATCACCTCAAACCCCCACACTCCATTGGAACGGACGTTTGTCTAAGGTCTTTTCTTTTAGTGCCCCATTTCCAAGTTGTCAGCTAGCTTTTCAGGATGCGTATCAATTCTTTCTTCAATGAGAGAGCGGGCAATGATTGGGCAAGATGTCCTTGAGCCAAAATAGATATCACTTCATATCATTTCATGTCATTGTGGGATTCTTCATTTCAGGCTCTTCATGCCCCAAGCTCTTTTTTGTCAGCTTTTCGTGAGGTTACTGGAAGGCCGCCTGGTGGGCGAGCAGGGCTTCGATGGAGACGAGCCGCTCAAGGCCATGGCGGCCATAACTCGCGTTTTGTGATGAATCTAGTCTACTAGTGGCAAGAAGCTACTAGTAGCTCCTGCCATTACTACTAGTAGCAAGAAGCTAAGCTATTAGTAACATTTAGTAACAAGGCACCTTACTACTAGCAACAAGAAGCTACTACAGTAGGTTTTTCCTGAGGAGACTTCTTATCCCTTTTCTACGAGAAGAGAATAGAAGAGATAGTGGACTGACAAAAGATTTTAGAGGTTCCTACAGTGAGGATGATTGATTTCTCGAGTGTGATGGAACTTAACAGTGGACCAGTGGAGGAGGGTTTGTCTTCCGCAACATAAACGTCATAAGCTTCTCAACAGGAAGCTTTGCTCGAAAAAGCATCACTACCCCAGCCACGGGCCCTGTTAAGGTCTTTTGGAAACGTGTTCGTTCCTGCTTCAAGATGTTTGTGCGAAACCGACATGCAAAAACTCAAACCTTTAGACGTTGCAAGGAGGCGCACTTCCAGCTCCAATCTCTTCGAGCAGTGTTGGAGTCCAAGGACAAGGTGCGAAACGGGTCTCCAAATGACTTGTAGATTTGGTACAACGTGCTACTTGCTGTAGATGCATTAGGCAATTTCATGCCAGTGGCGGGGCGGCGGAGCTCGGTGGTTAGCTAACAGACTCCAACAGACTGAGAGACTCTTGGATCACACATGCTGATAAAGCTGGTGTCCAAATGCAGTCCTTCTTTGTACACCAGGTTCCCTTTTAGTCCCTTTTTGTCGCATGTAGACTCGTAGACATGTTTGAAACCAAAATTCCAATTTCCTTTGAGAATCTGGCGCCATACCGTCCATATCCTCTCGGCTTTCAGGAGTTAGTAAAGATAAAGGACCGCAACATGACCTTGCAGAAGGCCTGGAGTAGATCAGGTAGTAATCAGTAACACTGTGACATCTTGCAGTGCTTTGCAAAAGCAGAGATATCACTATCACTTTTGATCCGAAACATGCCCACACGGCCCGGCCAGGAGAAGGATCAGGTGTTGGCAGAGAGCCAAGAATCTAGAGCTGAGCTTCAGGTATCATCAAGGTCCAAAGAGGCCTTGTCACCATCACATGCCAAGGGATTGTAATCAAGCGGCTGCAAGGGTGAGTCATGAACGGTCATTGAATGAACCTGACTAGTATTGCTGTGTCGAAATAAGGCTTCGCGTCCCCAATTTCATGTCCCAACCACTGAACACTTGTGGAGGCCGCTGCTCAGGAGCAGATTGATCACCTGCAACAAGATCTGTCAGCAAGAGGAACATTGCTGGAGGTCAGTGGCTATTGGCCATGGTCCAAAACAGTAGCAGCCTTGCTCATGGCCTGTGTTACCTGTTTGTCTTGAGACTCAAAAGAGTTAATCTCAGTTTCAGAACCTTTTCACAATGCTTTTCTTTGTAGTTTTAAGGGTGCCTGCTTGTTTGTTTCTATGCATTCAAGTCCAGAGTGCAGTTGCACAGCAAGACAAACTACTAATCACAGGGGCAACTGCAGAGTGGCAGAGATATTATGTCATGTGTATGTTTGAGCAGGAAGAGAACGGGTTTTTCTTATATTATGCTATAACAACCATGTGGATCAGCTACGAATCAAATTAGCAAGTCCATTGTGTGTGTCGCAGGTTTGGGTCACCAGTTTTTAAATCTACGGAGAACAGTTTTGTAGTTTGAACAGTTAAACAAGAACAACTTTTTGGCCTGGTGGTGTAGCGCTCCATGCACAAGATATGTGCATTTCTTTGGCAACCACGCTCACAGCTATGGTCCCTCCATGTCTTTCGCCCCTCCTCGAACATCTCATTTGTATAGCTTCACTCACAAGGACCCTAAGGATCTGAAGTCAACAATGTGGACGTGTTTATGAGGCTGCTACTTGTAGCAGCTAGCAAACAGAGTTGAGAACTCTGCAAGGCAAGCTTGAGGGTGGTAGTAGTAGTAGTAGTAGTAGTAGTAGTAGTAGTAGTAGTAGTAGT